AAGGAAGCTGCCTTGTCTGGAAAGATAGCTACGTTGCATGGAACAACATTGATTTCTTATTCACTCACATGGAACAACAAAGGAGTCGCCCTGTTTTCGGGCACTACGACCTTGAACATTCTCTGCGTCGAATACGTCTATAAGCAAAAAGTGTGCGGGGTACCTTTACAATCCGATGTGTTTATCTCGCAGTTTGTGCTGGCGTCGGAAAAGCACGAACTGTAGTTTAGCAATACTACGAACAATCTAGAGAGTAAACCATTATCCTAGCGACATTTACTAGCCGAGGACCGACTGATAAGTTCATAAGTGCGGGAAAAGAGCCCCTCAGAAAACAATAGCATTATAACATCAAGGCCAACTAAAGAATTGCTTTATTGTTGTTTGAGTCTGCAGATACTGCTAATTTGTAGGTTATCAGACAGAGTGACCCTGTGTCATTACTAGAACATGGGGGTCAGCTTACGTGACCGGCAACGCAACTGTGTAATGGATGTCAATGAGCCCAGATCATCTGAGTTTAACATGGGTACGGACAACTATGTACTCGGTATCTACGTAAAAACGCCAGATTCTAATTGGAGCTGATATTTCAGTTTCGCATACACCAAAATCATGCAGCTGTAACATTCGATATCGCTTACTTGGTGAAAGTTAATCGCTAGAAATTAGCTTCAGATTTCAACACGTACCCAGTACTCGGCCGCAGAAACCTTCCCAATGGCCTGATGGTTAGTTAGAGACTGGCTGTTATCGCTTTTTATTCTCTTTTAATGATGAATGAGAACTGTTAACAACTCCACGTTGATAGACACAATATGCATTTAGCTATATAATAAAGACCTTTAAGCTAACCGGTGGCCCGCGCAGGCTTTGTTTCTGAGAAGCCGAACACGAATTCTAATGGAATGATTAGTAATTAACAAGATCGAACCTACGCATGCCCCGACAAAACCCCGATCATCTCCGTTTATAATTGATTGATTGATTGATGGTTGTACACCGGTCCATCGTTTTCTGTGAATATATATTTCTGCGTAATTGTAGCATATATTTTACATAACGTAATGGTGTTGATCGATCGCTAGCTGATTAGCGGAAGGTACCTTAAACGCGCATGGCTACTTGGAATCCGGTGCCAGTAACAACAGTATATCTTGATATAACGCAGAAGTTTTGTTCAATGCCAAAGTAACGAAAGAGGTGCGAGTGGAAGAACGACTTGGGGTGAAGGCAAAAACTAACGTTAGCAAACTGATTGTTTAAACTAAACATAAACTGTAGCAAACAGATAGATTAATAAATATGGAGATGGTATTGAAAGAGCGCTATCGGTGTTGGCGCGTATCGTAAACACCACAACAACTATCGCCCCGACCTAAGCGGCGGAAGAATAATTAAGCAGGTTATAGCCTGAGGACGTGCATTTAACAGATTGTTTTTTTTTTCGATCATAAGTCCATTGCATCAATCGCAGCATATGTACAGAATTGTTGACTTAAAACAAATTATGGTAAGTTTTCGCGTGCTTTACGGCTAGTATTTAGGCTGTAAGACACTGTTTTAGACGGCCGGCTTCTAGCCCTCAACGAAGTGCGTCTACGCCCGCGTCCGAATTTAGATCAGCACGTGTCTCTGAATAAGACTGTGTAAACTATTTCATGAGAATTGACAGTTTCTTGGGAACGGGGTACGCATTCATATAGAGCAGGATATCCAGTCACCTGGAAGTATAGTTAAAGCGTTGTACATTGATATTCTTGTGGCGATAGTTTTGTATAATGCCTGTACAGATGTTTAAAGGATTTTTACGGAAATTTGATGTATATGGAAGATTTAACATTCTTTTATGGTGGAATTACCTTTTATAATAACTTTAGTTTTAACAGAATTATATATATTCAGATATATCAGATATAATTTCTAAGCTAATTTCAATAGATTTTTTCAATGATCACGCCGCAAAGCAATCGGTTCAACTGTTTTAGTCAGGTCGAATAAACATTTTAGAAAGTGAAATAGCCACAATTTCCTGAAAGCCCATTACCACGCAATAGTAATGATCTCAAGTACACGTTCTTCTTTAGTAGGACAAATGCATATAAAATCAATTATTCGCTTTATAAATCATTCAAGGAATAGGCTTTGAGTTCTCGAGAAGCAACATTTTTTCTTTGGAAAAATTTCCAAACTTTAATTTGGAAATTTGATTAACTTGAAACATTCGATCTAATCAAATTAAAAACATTTGGAGATAATTCTGTATTTTCTGGAAATAACAGCTTGAACCACAATTCAGCTTACCTATTACGTGAGTTCCCAAACACATGGTACTGTAAAAGAATTCATTAACTTCCGGTAGTTTGAATCCCAGTGTAGTTTCGCATGGCGCTTTAGATATTTAATAGCATTTGAGAGAACTCATGCACAAAAGGTAACTATTATTGTTACAGTTATTAGTCACGTGAAAAAATTCTCGAAAAACGTTTAATCTGTCAAACAGGTTCTCTGGTCGGTTGAAGATTAGTGGTCTTAAAAAGAGGAGCAGGATTAATTTTACTTTGATAAGCACACACAGGCACAGCTGGTTGCTATTGTTCATAAGTAGGCTCTTATTATTACATGCGGAAACAACTCTGGTGGTATTCACACTAATTTGAGTACACCGCTTTATAAAAAAAACATTCGATGGTACTAAACAAACTAGGGACATTAAATACTGACATTCGCTCTTTTACCTCTAAGAGATTTTAAAATGTTAAGATAGAAAAAGAATTGCAGCCATCAAATCTGCGTTGGTCAGATATAGGAAAAGATATGTGGGAAATAGAGCATTAGTGGTAAATAGTTATTTGGAAAACGCCTCTGCGTGATTATTTGAAGTTCTCCACGGCTACATTCGAAACTCGTTCTTTCTTTGTGTTTTTATTTAAGACGTTTGTTAACAATTATAATTATGTACTAATACATTGTAAGCACTGCTCTCCGTAAGTACTTCACAGGAATTATATAGATCCAGAGTACAGGTACGAAACTAGACGATGAAAGATTCTCACAGATAACAATCAACAAAATTTCCAAAACGAGATATGGTCCTTGAAGACCTAGAATTTCTAATGTCAGCTATATGTTAAACCAATAGAAAACTTTTCTTTATAAAACATTAGGAGATCTTAATGTCGAATCCTTTGTGAGTCTTTTATTATTAAATAAAAAAAACTTCAAATTTTCCAAGATTGTACGTTAGAGAATATTGAAGAGCGCTTACCGAATAGATTTTTCAAAGGAATATCTCGCCGATGCATAATCATTTTTCTAACTAAAGTTCATGTCCAGCCCTCGTGATAAAATGAATCTACAAGCACTCGAACAATTGTAAAATGTCAGTATTTTTGATTACACATTGAAGCTCATGAATTATTGGCAAATTGGGTAGCTTACACCATTGCAGACAGTACAGATAGTAAATATTATTGAAGAGTCTACCGACAGCCTCGGTTACGATAAAAGTTTAGATTTTTTTAAACTTTTTAAGTTTATGAAGGAACCTTTTAAGATAAAGGAATACCATGCGAATCTTGAGATTTATTCTAAAAATCTTTGTATAGTTACTGAGTAACTGAAAATATTTTTTACTAAAGCATTTGAAACTGAATTGGATGAAGATATGTCAACTTAACGTACAACTTTGCCATAGGTTTAAAAGCAACGCGTGATATTGCAACTCTTATGAAAACAAGACCTGTCATGCCAACTATGTTGAATACTGTACAAAGCGCGGGCATTGACGAAACATGTTATTAACCTTAACGGGTGCGATGGAAACTCAGATGCGGCAGTGGGTGCTGACAGCAAAGACCAACAGGTCAACACTTGTGTAATAACTCCACCTACTAGTATATTGATCGTCGCAGGAAGGAGCCTTGACGAGCGAATTGTATCGTCATCTGCCGGCAAAACAATCAATGTCGCTTCGTATGGCAACGGCCAACCAGACGCTCCTACCCTTCAGGATCTGTATGTATGCAACAGTTTTCCTACGGAGCCCTTTCATCGCTCCGGCAAACCACGCTATTCCAATACTTCTGTACCCACAAGCTCCGCGCAAAATCTGCAAAAGTAAATCGTTTAAACTGATAATGTACTGGGTTAGCTACCGTCGCCATAAAATAACTGCCAGCTGCCGCCTTAAAATAGCTGTCAGATTCCACAAGAACTTTTTCTCACTAGGGTGCTATAACGCGATCAATATTCTTTCATAAGCGCGTATTTATGCCACCGTATTTCCTAAATATACTATCCTTAAGTGTAAGCGGGCTGATTGGTTAGCCGGCTGATCTATTGACTAGCACAGCGTTTGACTTGGATTCGTTGCATTTTCACCGTGAAAAAAGGTCGAGCGCTGTCGGCCTTTAACTGCCTGTCCGTATATAGATAGCTATTATGTAAGAATATGTGAGAGCTATGTACAGAGATGTAAGGACCTCTGTCTTTTCGGAGATAGGAAAAATAGCGTGCGCACGCTCTGAGACCGTTTGGTATTTCCCTGTGGATCTTTTGTTTGTTCTCCAAGCGTTCTGAGAACTTTATAAAAAAAAAATAGACGAAGCCGATGTCAAAGAGAAGGGAATACTACAAAAGAGTCGCCTTAAAGTTAATCGGTTGTTATCCATCATATGTATATGAACGACAATATTTTAATGTACTGAGCTTACGGGCGGCTGCACTTTGAACTTTCTTTGAGGCTCGCGAGCATTATATGCCATATGGAGACAAAATGAGAGATGGATAAAGATCAGCTTGCTCAAAATACGCTAAGGCTAAAATTAAAAAAAGATACGAATTATGAGTTAAAAACGTAGTGAAGTGTGCTGTGTATGAAAAAAAATAGCAGTGTTGAAAATTATTGACGACACAAATAAGGTTAAAAAACATAATAAGAACTTCACTCCAAAGTGTGAAACGAAGCATAGTCACTGTTGGATAAACACCCACGTTTATTTTTCATTATAATGACGTATAGCTACAATAAACAACTCAATTCCTTCTCGTTTCCACTCGTTCAAATTCTTCTTGTTGTTACAAGCCGACACCTTGAACTCGGTTTCAAAAAAAAACAATTTTTTGTTTCTCAATATAAAAAATTATCTAAATGCGATATAACAATGACTTTATTCATATGAATTGTGTAGTAGTTATCATTGGCAGGATTCAAAACAACGGACGTATCATAGTGTCTTCTAATTGAAGACGTTCAACGTTATTCAAGCCGTGCCGTCGACGGCGACGAAGTATAATACTTTAGTGCTTGAAAGCGAAGTTTAACTGAGATGTCGGAAGCTTGGACGCAATTATTTAGAGTGGAAGCCGTAAAGTCTGATGTATTGAGACGTCGAATTTGTACAATCGATTTGCGCCTTTCAAATTTTGTTCCATAGTGCCTTTATGCTTTGAATTTTACCTGCAGTATCGGCGTAAGGCATTCCATCAGACAGCGGGCTGGCTCTCAGCATGAAACCAAGTCCGTCTATGCCAGGGTCCGAACCTACATTACAACGTATCCCTAATATTAGCAGGCAAATACGTTACCTACTAATCTATCACTGGGGCTGTTCCATACTACCTAACCATGCAGAAAAATAAATCCGCAAAAGGGTTTGTCACCTTTTTGCACTTGCCATGCATAGTAAATAATGGTATATGTATAGTTAGACCTGTTGTGAGGGATGAACATCTTTGGAATCTTTGGGTGTCCGCCTGTACTTATAGCGATTGAGAGAATAACAGACTATGAATGGCATCAGAAAGCAAATTCTTTTTTGAGAAGTCAACATCGAGTATTTAACTATAGCGGAAAATTTGCTGCTTAGTGACGAAGTCTACCGCCACAAGGGATCTAAGGATAATGGAACGGTTAAGAAGCCGTGTTTTTTCCAACAATCTGGGAATAAAACGTATGCGCTCAGTATCCAAATGTTTCAGAATGATTGAGTCGTGTCCCGCGTACTACATTTATTTTCGGATCAGGCTGTGCTTAATTAGATCTTTTAAAGAAAATGCGTATATTGCGGCGTGGTTTGATCGCAATCATAGTACATATATCATAACTAAGTTACTTCAAGATTCAAATCGCACTAACTCGCAACGAAGTGATTTTTTTTATGCAATAATCACCTAGGCTATTCATTGCCTTTTCGAATGTCTGTCAATAAAGTGTATGTCTATGCGCCGTGTGCTTCGGTGTAGATTTGCGAACATAGTGGCTATTAGCCGGTAATATAGTAAAAAATTGCTTTACTTTTAGGCTGATGAGCCAATCCTTTTTGCAAACATGGTGGCCAACCATTCGCCGTGTCCTCGTCTCTACTTTGCCATCAGTAGATCAACCACTTTGTCTTGAACGAGCCCTTTACAATGGCTTTATAATTTAAATCGCATCATACGAAATCGGGTAACTATAAAACATTAACATGGAACAGTGAGGTCTTGTCTCGTTATGAATGTGCATTAGCTATTAATGCTAGCTTATAAAAACTGATTTGTGTTAACATGTAGTATAAAGCAGCAGCTTCCTTCAGTTATGTTAAGCTGGATTGATCATTTATAATTTTTTGCAGTTCAATATAGGGAAAGGCGTTGGAACTTGGCTTCTAGCTGTACACGAAGTAATAACTACCACTTCGGGTCAAATGATGTTATTGTCACAGTGTACTCCAGTACTCATTAAAAGGCATGCGGTCGATTACGTAGTTAGTTAAATGAGAGCTCAGATATATTTTTGAAGTATTACTGTGGCATCGGTAAAAGAAAAAAGAAAATACAAAGCAAAACTACACCACATAACAACTTTCAAACATATAATCTCTTTGTACTGTGTTTTCACAAAAGGAAATTTTACATTCCAACCACTTTTTACAGAAGCTATAGTATTCCAAATTAAAAATTACAGTAATAAACAAATTAAAAATCCATCCCAGGCTATAAAAAACGTCTCTCCCTGCAAATATTAAAAATACGAAAAACTGCTGCCCAGTGCTTCATTTGATAGCGGCGCTTTGATTATGAACTGAATTGTTCTCCGTAATCCTTGACCGTATTAGTTGAGCAGTATAAAGCGAACACTGATGCGACAATAATTGCATCAGCCTTCGCACTACCTGTAATATTAAGTGATGAAAGGAAACAACACTCTCTTCAAATATCATACTTACATACATAATCAGTGGCTTTGAAAAGTTCGTCTTGCAACTTGATACGCTTTACAACTATATCTAGCACAGACATACGTCTCCTATCTAGGCTTGTTGGGTCGCCCTGCTTATTTTCCGAAAGAGACTTCGTGTTTCGAATTTTATGTCCGGTATCTCCTTTACGCATTCCACCATTTTTTGAAAAAAAAATCCATCGGAGATTAAAGACGTCTAAACCTTTTCTCGCATGAGGGTTCTCGGCCTTCTTTTTTTATCAACGAATAACGCTTTTTGCAACGATTTCATTGTATTGTTCATCCGATCTGTTACGGGACGCTTCGAGAAGTACTAATCTTGTTTTAGAAGGGTTATCCTTCAGATCCACCTTTGAGGGCTATATCAACTGCCTCTATATAGGTTCGTCCATCAGCAACAAGCATATATGTATGCAATACCGGTGAATAAGTTTTTTCAGTTTAACAAACAACTTAAGGGCTTTTTTGGTTCTGAGAAAAGTTCTGAAAAAAAAAATACATGACACGTAAGAAGCAATTTCCTCAAATAAATGATTTGACTAAACTACATTTCCACCCCATTCGCTTGGTAATTATGTGTCAGAGATGAAATAACGACCTCGATCTCAGCAATCTACAGTTTGGAGTTTCAAACGAAGGTATGGCCCATTGTTTAAGCGAATGAAGCTATCCAACAGAAAAGACCCAATATACGAGACGACGTAACCATTTTCCACGACAACGGCTAATTTTGTAAAAACTGCTTTGCAAGATATTGAGTAAGATACTCCTTTTGCATTCACCATATCTTCTAGACCTTAATATGTATTAAGTACTCTTCTTTATTTTTTTACATATTTGCCCCAGCGCTTCAGCAGCTTCTGATCAATCATTTACCTACTACTCGCATTTCAATACGTAACCTCTCTATTTATGGTTTCTAAAAATGAATCGATAATGGGATGTGCCTGCCGACCAGTTGCCTTGTTTAGGGCATGGAAGGCCTCGTAACTGCACAGATTTGGATTAAGAGAATAAGCAAATTAAAGCCAACGTTGGATATTTTTCGTTCACTTCAGGAAATCACTGAAGTCTGTCTAGCGATGTCATCAAGTGACCAGGCTGCGCACTCTCGATTATTGTGCCAACAGTTCATAAAGGTCTTAAAGAATTTAACATAACAGGCTATATTCGTTGTTTCATTTTCGCGGAATATTTCATAGCAGTAGACGCCCCTGATGTCCATGGTAAGTGCACTACTTCGTTACGTTCGAACCAACTCGAGACTACCGCCGAATTCAATTTATCTCCAGAGCGATGCCATTCTGTCGCCTGAGAGGGATTGATGCATGCCTCGTCTATGGCACCTATGTGCTCCAGGCGAGTTTTTTGTTCTGCAAAACGCACAGGGAATACGCCACACCCATGTTCAACTGGCCTAGAGTTGATTCACTGGAGGACTAATTTTTTTTATTCTTTCCTTATTCTCAATAATTGGGTCATAATTCAGTAACATGTTACACCTTAAGTACCAGTTTCGGCCGACAGAGCTTTTAGACTCCAAGGTCTGCGTTCGTGAGAGGCCTCCTGTGTATCGACAGTTCGTCTTTGTCCTTCGGGTCCTGACATCTGGCCACCTTCTCGCAATTTTTCTACACACCAATCTCCGTTCATAAAACTTTCAGGCCATCCACGTGCTATGCTTTCGATCAAGGCCAATAGTTAATCAATTCCTGTAGTGCTGCAACCTTAGAGGAACGACCACTGAGGGTTGATTTTCGGAACTGAACAATGTGTTCATAATACAAAATATTTTTTATCAAGTATTTTAATATAAGTAAAAACAAACTGAACTAAAATCAAACGTGGTGCAGTTAATGTATGCCTAATAATAATATGTACACTAAGCTAAACTTACGTTGTCAACTACAATATCCATTATATAGAATGGTAAAGTATACTGCTTATAACGATTAGTCGTTTACCAAGAAAATTAGTTACAATGTAAAAGATGTGAGATCACATCAAAACCAAGAGGCTGAGTTAAGTCTTCCAAATTTTCAGTTCAACAATGGCGTGTACATTTACAAATATACTTTCGCAAGTTTAATTAACATACTTGATCTTAGTCTATTTTGGGTAGTCTGATCACCTCACCACAACATATAATACAGAAGAAGTCGTAAGTAAGATATCATTCTAATCGTTTACAGGGCCGAATTCCTATGGTTCAATCCGATGCACTCCGGTACTTTACCACGCTTTGTATTCAATTATTGCAATCGAAATCAGAAAGCATAGAAAGCTTCAGGCACCACGTGGGAAAACGCGCTACCGTGTGACGCCCAGCGGTCGTCTGTAACCAAATAAAAATTTTGATGTTTAAGGCACCGATTGATAAGAAATTTGTGTATGAAATTCATATGAGACATAATCGGGAGGATAAAGCACAAAAGGAATAGGTATTGTTTAACCTCTCGCCTTTTTTTTATAAAGAGAATTGAAGTCGATATTTTTTTAAATTTTCAAAAAATGAATATCCATCAGTGGTCATACCCTCGAGTTTAGTTTTATTAAAAAAAACATTTAAAGAATATTATAATAGTGAAAAGCTAAAAATGTGAGGTACGTCTATCAGGTCTGTATCATTCTCGCACATTTGCTATGGAATGATATAGTTGTATACCATTATCGAAATTAGAGTATGTAATTCCCAGTCTGACCACTAGCGATCGCCCAGCTTGTCGAAAGTACAACTTAAATCAATAAACACACGATATGAAATATTAACGTACACCTTATGAGATCTTATATAAATAATTTTATTCAGGCTCGATCTTTTCGTTTTTCACCCTTCAATTTATTCAGTCACAACAATAATCTATCGTTTTTTACACCTAGAAGTGAGTTGATTTGAGCAACAAACACTTACGCCTTTAGACTCGCCAACTGAGTAAAGTCCTTCAAAAGAAATGATCGTCCATTTTTTCAATCCCATTCTACCCAACCCCCCCAATCTTCGCCTTTCATCCCTTTGTTTAACGACTCATGCTTCAGTCAGCTCCCACTTAATATCCTGAGCAGCATTCTGTACGGAATCTTTATAGCTGCTCTAGTCTTGTTCGCCTTGGCCCTGTTGCTGTTGCTGTCCGCTTGCGTCCTTTTTTTTTCCAGTTTTAACCGCATAGAATGCCTCAGGATCAGCAGGTACGAGCCCTTCCTTTTCGGCGAATTTCACGAGATCTCTTCGCATGGCAAACGCGTCCTCTCCGTCAGCATAGTATTTTGCTTCTATATCACTAATTGCGAATCCTAATATGCATTCGAAATCGAAGTAAAAGTTTCAGAAATGGAAAAGATATCTGTTAGTAATGACACCACATTGATTACGGGTAACTGTGACACCACATTGATTACGGGTAACTGTAAGGGGTTACTCTATTTAGTGAAACAAGTTTTTAATGGGTGCCAAATAAAGCAAGTAGGATTTCTTTAGTAGAAACGTGTGCCAGATCCGTCCATCTGGCGCACGTTTCCGCTGGCCTTTAATGACTATTCGTGCAACTGTTTTTGACGGTTTTTACCCATATCTCTGAGTTTATTTCTGAAATTTCTCTTTGAGTTCTTCAAACATACATTTGTGCTTTATTGTATAATTTTTGTATACAAAATGAGACTTCTCTGCGATATACATTCTTTGAGTATACGTGATAGCCTCCATAACAAAAAGGCAATTTTGGAAAAAAATTTAATTAAAAATTGAATTAGAATTAAAAAAAGGAATTGTTAATTAGACATCTTTATATCAAAGGGACATATTTAGTTTTTAAGCCTATAGACAGTTGCGCGTTTTCCTGTAAGCAACCTTGTGTATAAATTAAAATTAATATTTTGTTTAAGCAAGTTATGGTCCTAAGTTTTCTAGCGTGATCTGCTAATTATGTAGCTAAATACTCAAAAAAATTCAAATATATCCATATTTATTAACGTAAAACTTAAAACATGATCCAGTTCCCATTTCTAATTCCACGTTTGACTTACCCAGCGTATTTTGATACAAATGTAAAGCCGCTCGATTGCTGCGTCGGACGTGTAATGAAACGTATTTGGCGTTGAAACATTCAACCATTGCTCGACTACTCTGATTCATCAATTTTTGTGCCAGCCCACAGCGTCTGAAATTTGAAATAGTAGCAAGCAAAAAATGGAGTAATGAACGGGTAAAATATTAACTTTAATTATACTAGATTTTCTCATCAGCAATGTTTACAGTTAATTTTCTAAGAAAGTTTTTTTTTTGTCGCGATTTGGAAAATCATATTTTCACTGTGGAAAAAGCGACACTTTGCGAATGGACTAAAGCTGTTCACTACAGATTTAGCGATATATTTGAATAGGTTATTTATTGACTCTATAATTGCGCCGAAAGGCTTCGCAGTAGTAACAAGTCGTATTGCAATTGCACCTTTCGGCTCGGCTCAATACATTTCGACTCAGTTTGCATTATACAGGCAGTCGAGAGATGGCAGCTGGCAAATCCCACCACTAGAGACATTCCCATTCGACTCACTCCAAATGGAATATTGCATTGTGCCAGGAATTGATGAATACGATTTTCTTAAAGCTTTTCAAACAGAAATTTTCAACGATATACAATAAATATACCTAACCATCAACTATGGGCTGTCGCCTAAAAGATACAGATCACTTTGGTATATTACTATGAAAACTCACTTTCACTTCCTCCTTATTACACCTACAGTTTTTTTTTTTATTTACCTATTAACGAAAGCAGTCAATAATTTTTATTAAGTCGTAACTTCGAAACATGAATTTATTCATTATCAAACATATGCGTCTAACCCAACCGTATGACCTGCTAGCATATGCAATTTAATTACTTAGGGGGTTATTGTTAAATTATTACGCACGAAAGTGAGTGTTTCTATCAGTGTAAGAGTTTTCATTAAAGCGCTCTTTCGTTGAGCCAAGCCCACGTACAAATCATCAATATTACTAAAGTCGCTATCAAGATCACTGCGAAAAGATATATATATTTTTATATGTGTAACATATGCCTCATTATATGAAATTAGATAGTAATCCGTACAATATTCAATCTCCGGAAAAATAATATAGATCAACATAGCTTCCCACCAGATAATGTATGCCTTAAAAACAGTTCCGATAGTTTCTGATTAATTTTTTGTATTACAATAGAGAAATATGGACAGAATGTAACATTTGCTTAAACGACAAAATACAGCTATAAGTAAAATAGCCGAAATCGATGCCGTCGTCAATATTTTCCGAAACAATGCACTTTGTTCAAGCTTCCAATGATAATTATTCCCATTATCAGTCGAGTTCGATTTATTGATTGTTCTTAATCGAATTAAAGTAACTTTGTTCGAACAGCTGTCAACGATAAAAACTCAAAATTGAGTACTGAACCTACTCGTTACGAAAACATCTAAATGTAAGTTACATAATATAACCAGCAAAATTGGGACATTTTATAAAATGATAACACTTTTTTCGAGCGTAGCTTTCTCACCGAATCTCTCTGTTTTAGTGATCACCTACCTGTGCGAGCGCTTGACGGCCAGTGACGTGATGTGTCCATGGGGCTCAGCATCGTCCTGAGTTTCTTCTTCCATTTTGGCGAGGACATATCCGACCACTTCGCCCCGTCCATCCTCAGCCACGTAGCTCAACTGTGGCCAGCTCAAGCCATGGTAAAAGTAGTACTTCATCTGGTAGTTTTCTGGCAAGCAAAGTAGATTACAGTGTTGCATATTCATCAAATCTTCAGTTGTCGCACACCGGATACTCGTCATCTTTAAGGTTTTGTATTTCTGTCTTTTATTTGACTATTTCGGGTCGCTTTCGGCCAGACAAGAAAGCTGTACAAAAAAGGAAAACTCACGGATTTCCACCGGTTTCTTACGCACACAACTGTATCATGAACGGCAACAACAGAGAGTCGGCACCAAATACACCAGTTCTACACTCACTCACAAGCTGATGTTCTGAGAGCTATACTCCATCCATTCGAAAAACACACACAGCAAATATTACCACACTTTTCACAGATTTCTACTCGCTTTGGGAAAGAAGTGACTTTCGTGTGATAACGATAGCTTTGTACTGATGGCCACCATCAGAGTGCGTGAGTACAGACTCGACGCTATCTGATTTTCCGTAATGGCAGTGTAAGCGATTAAATTTCGCGCAAATTTCTGCAATAAACAAAAATTTGCTCATCGAACGCCAGTAAATGTCTCGCGCCTTGCCGCTGAAATCGCTCAGAAGAATACATTAATGAAAATTGACACGAATACATCGACAAATAGCATACGTGGGACGGATGGAGTACTTGATGGTCAAGCCGTTGATGGTACGGATTTCAAAGTTGATGGTGGCGCGATATGTTGACTGAAAGTGCCATAGCATCGTTAGATAAGGACGACTAGAGACAAACGCGATTTAATGTTGTTGTTAACGTACTTTTAATATATTGCTTTGCAGCATTGAAAACTATTTGTTAGAACGTATATAAGCAAGCAGGCAAGCACATATATACGGCGACACTTGAGCGATCGCTGTTAGCATTTGGGGCATTCTGCTACGCAGTCCGATAAATATTGCTTCATTACATCTATTTACAAACTTTTTCCATTTTATTCTGTTTCTGCAAAGTACGATTAGTTCAAAGTTAGAAAAAAAATACCATCTACTATTAAAATAATTTTAAATCGCAAACCATAAAATGTAGATACCTAACTATCAAAGTTCTTGTAATTTTTAAGTAAGATGTAGATCTAGATGCCGGTTGCGGCCTGCTCCTGGTGTCCTCTTTTCGGATAAACGTAAAGCTCAGAATACGTCGGCTTCTAATCCACAATGAACTAAGTTGTTGCAGACGAGCTTAGACATCGTACCCTCGATAACATCTGTAATTTAGTATTGAGCTATTAGGTAATAGTTCGTATTTTTCTCATTAACATGTCAGAAATTGCCCGTGCACGGTCCATACTTTAAACAGCTAGTTATATTTGCCACTTAATATTGATGCACATATATAATAAAAGTATCGCAATAAATGTTGGTGGTAATACATCACACCTACATACATACATACATACATATATACATACATACATTAACTAAAATAATGGTCGAGACGTGCTTTTATGCACCTAATGTTAAGGGGCAACAACAAGTAACCTCACGATGCCTGTCAACTAACGCCAGTTCCGCCAATGTATTATTGCATTGTTAATATAATTGTTCTTGTGATCCGTTTATAAGAATACTTCCCATTGCAGGACTATAATAGACGCATTCTTTGTCGTTACACAATAAATACGTCTTCTTACTATTGACCAAAACTTGTTGCATTTTCCTCAAGACTTTAGTAGTAACAGTAAAACTATACAAGCTTAACAAAATAAATGTTTATCATACCTAGCCAATTCGGCATCAAACAATAGATTTGTTTGGCAATTATGAACTACACGAAGTGGGTTAGATGTCTCTAAACACTTTAAAAAAAATACAATTTTTTAAATAATGCGAAGGTTTTTGCGCAAAAAGCAAGGTTTTAGACCGCTCCGGCTATATTCGTTCAGTAGAATCACCGTTGGTTTAGGGATTCTTCGAAATCTGAATATATTTGTATGTGCGTATAGCTGGCTATGACCGACTAAGGCTCTTAGAAAAATTAACCATTCTAATATACTATTGCTAGGTGGACATTGCTTTGTACTAATGGCACTTTCCAACGACTCGCTGTTAATTGAATTAATTAAATTGGGTAAATGTATTGGACGCTATATATTTAGGGATAATAACACGATTATTTCTGTTCCCTAGTATCTAGTACTTCGTTTCAACCGATATAAATATAGAAATTGCCTAATTAAGTGTTAAAGATTTTGGCTTTATTATAGTTTCTGTACTTTTCTAGCGACGTTGTTCAATAACCCTCAACTGTTTAAAAGGCTAATCATTTCGTAACTTCTATAGCTTAACTTAACGTAACATCTGACCCTTGAACTTGGTTCTTGTGCGGAACACTGCATCAAAGAGTAATTCGAACTAGATGATGTTAAAGTTCAATAACAAGTAGGGTTCAAAAATGTCTACCAGAATTTTTTAGAGCTGTTTCAACTTCTTGTTTGAGCTACGAGTAGTCACATTAGATGAAACCCAAATCAGTAATCTTCCTTTGAAATTTGCTGGTTTTGCCGCTTACATGATACATTCATGTATGTATGTATGTATGTATGTATGTATGTCAATATTTATAACCTACCATTCGATAAAAACCATGGGATTTCGAAGCATTAAGCTTTAACTGAGCTACCACAGGATTGAGGCACCTTACAATAACTCCGATGCTCCTCTAGAGATTAAAAATGCCTAAGAAGCGTGATCTGCAGAACCTTCCTAGAGCTTCGCTACCCTTTGATCTTTGTCTCATCATGGGTAAAAGATTAAAATAATTATAATAGAAAGTCTATTAATTAGTGCAAATTGTTTTTCTTCTGATTGGCGGGCAGCAAAGAGGTCTAGTAAAACGATATAAAACATCGATGTCACTATCTTATGCAACCATGTGAATGTTCTGGTAGAAATTCAGAAATTTGAGTTATGGTATCTCCTATTCTATTTTTTGTTTCAGGTCTCGAAAGAAAGGCAGTTGGACGAAAAGTTTCTCAAAGGTGCCTTCAAAATCCAATAACGTTAAGCCGAAACTCACATATAAGCTGTTACTGATAGCTGCATATGACGAAGTACAATCGCAAATTATGTAAGATTTATATCTCCAATAATATTTATTTTCGATAACAGGACCTAAGCTGTCAGAGGTTTCCAAGAAAGGCACAAATATAGGATTCGTATTCTGATCTGCGAAACCATCCAAAAGGCTTTCTTCCGTGAAAACAATATCTAATGCATTGGGTATGGCGGGTTCCTGAACACTTAGTTTCGCAGACGCTTATGCTGATCTCGACCGACGGAAATTTATTGTTAGGCACGCGTCATTCGACCCAACGTCTACCTCAAACTATAATGGGTTCACGCAAGTGTATAAAGTTGTTTGTCGTGGTAAACAAACGTCAAATAGGGCGCAATGCTCAGATCCTTCTGACAAGCCCAGAACTGGAGATAGAGTAGAGGCTTGTATCGCAGGGTAGACCACTCTGAGTTAAGCAATATGACAGAGGGGTTTGTACCTTTAGGCTTTGCACCTATGGGCCTGCCTCATCCATATGGCCTGATAACGTGTTCTTAGCGCAAAAATGCTGTGTTAGTATTCACACCGTTAGATTGAAGCAAATAGCAATTTTAAAACAAAGCATCTATTCGTATGTATGGAGCCACACTGAACGGATGCTTCGCATCAGTCAGTTCGGAACATGTGAGATGTTAGGCTCGCTCAACGTCGCTACGACTCGCGTAGTAACCTCAACAGGTCTATAAAGTCGGTAGGGAATAAGGACATTGTGCTCACTGCGAAGAATATTATCGAAGAAGCGGAAATCTAGTCGTGCTTCACGCAGTACTTTGCACCCCAATAAAGATAGCAGACTTGACGCTGAGGTGGAATTGCTCACACTCGGCCGACTGCTTGGCTTTACTGAAATAGCTGCGATGTTCATATGGAAAGTTGGGAAACATTAACGACCGATTTGAAAAGGAACCTCGCTTTTCATTTCTATTGGATTCATTTAGTACGGAGTTCGTGCTTACATTAGGAAATCCACGAATGACTGCATCAGTCACTTCAAAGGCAACTGGTAATAGTAGTATAATAATCATATTAATAATAAGCAAGACCGGCCAATATATATGTTTTTCGTGATTAGCAATTTACATGCGAAGTGCAAGCACGAAATTAATCCTAAACTTGAAGAAAAATACCCTGTTGTCAACGAACGCGTTTTCATGACTGCCATTATTTCTTCGGGCAATAGGTACGCATTGGCCGTTGAGAGCTGGCCGTCCGTGGTGACCCCATTTCCATGCCCCCGTTGAACTACTCGTAAGTAGATCTGAAGCGCCATCGATGGAATTAAGAGAACCATTAGACTAGCACGAGTGTGAGACTTGACAAAGGATACCATTAGTGGTCTACGTAGAGCAAAGTCGTTTGACACAACACAAGCTGCAGCTGCAACGAAAGCTGGTCTTTAGCTGGACCGCGAGGAAGCCGGTGATACTAATATTATCGATAGATGGTTAGTTAAACGTACACATACTTATACCTATTTAACTTCATTCATAAGTCATCTCTAGCTTGGCTATAAGAGCATGAAACTAAATATGCTCATACTCTAGCTAACGACTGCAACGAAGCAAGATGAAAAAGGCGCTGTCTTTTCGAAGTAAATCTAGTACGTTTTTCGCAACCATTCTATGCCGAAACCCCGCCTGGGGCACAGACAAGGCATGAGTCATCCTATCGAAAGATCAGGAAAAAGTAATGTTGAACAAAAAAACAACTCTGACTACACAGCCGAATAGAATCGTGCAATTCATGGTTCTCAGTTACGTTCTGGATCGAGAAAAACGGGATGTCTGTCCCCAATGGAATTTTATAATTTTTCATTACACGCATAAAGTTCAAACCAAGACAAAAAGCACCGCATCGTGTTATGAAACTGAAGCATCAGTCGCCTCTAAATATGAATCGATTTAAAAAAAAAACACAAACTCAACAAAGCCAGGTTTGTATTTGTGAAAAAGATCATACATTCGAATACATTTGATCAAAGTTGTAATGTTGATTTTAGAGCAACGTCACCACAAAGGGCGAAGTACAAGAATCAATACCTTTGTGATACTGAACATATATGCTGCGATTTGGAGCAGCATTTCTCTATCGCATACAGTAATAGTTATAATAAAGATAGCTTTAAACTTATCGCGTGGTACCGCTGTCAACAACTTGTGTAAACAGAAAGCTATTATTTGTCTTAGGAACGAAAGAATTAACTAATGATTATGCTGACACTAGCTGTTTGGGTTAGTAACTCGCGAGCAACGTATCGGTAGATAAGACAAGCTTGAAGAAGAAGAAGAAGCCCAATGACACTCTAGCCCTGCTAGTTGCTGATGTTATTCCGTCAGTGAGATGCAAACGATAAAAGCCTAGCTCAGCAGCCTTCACGTTGCCAACAAGCCAATTGCATACAGATATGAATGCCGTTACTCGGTTCGATCTCAGCATCCATATACTCCCAAGATTCAGGACTTTGAGCTCTGCTCATAGCAGAAGCTTCAATCGATTTCGTAGACAACTGCGTCGTCAGCAATCTCATTGTAAAGCTCCGTCATGAATCTGTCTACTGACGTCATCAGTAGTCAGCTGTAGTAAGCGGTAGAGACGCTGACGGTAGAGAGAGGTTAAAGACGCTGGAGCGGACGACCGTCGCTCTTTCGCTGCATGCATTCCCTCAAATACATGGGCTAGTTCAGCTGTTCCCTTCCATCAGTGATGCAATGTCCGAATGGCTACTTCATTACAAGTCGTTGCTCTGTTTGTACGGGCGTCAATAGGTGACATTTGAAATGTAGCTATAGAACAAAACACACATTGAAGTGGTTGTCCACTAGAACGAATGCCGGCTTCGTCTATTTACCTTTCTATGTGAAAGCCATTCGTGCAAATCAAATTCACTCGATGAGGTCATGCTGCAAATAGAATCGTTGAGGAACATCAATACGTCGGGTGTCGACATCTGGATGATGGTCCAGGCGTGTTTCGGGCAACACTTTCTCATTGTCCTTGATAAGCGGATCATACGCTAGAAATTTTGTTTGGCATGGTCTCAATAACTGTAACCAACTGTTGAAAAACTCAAGCTGGAATCATGGAACTGATCTTGCTATGGTCAATCATGACTGTTTCATGAAAAGAAGATGGACATTTCCTATTAACGTCGTTATTGACGTTATCCGAACAGTGCAGTATAAGGTCATTTTTGCAAAATTAGCAGACGACACGGCTATGTATCGTACAAAATTATCGAATATGCATGAAATTACGGCAGGTGTCAAATCAAAGTCTTAGGTATAAGTTAAAATAACTAATCATAAAACACTAGCGTAACGACTTCTCGCCTGAGATTTAGTCGCTTATGAGAAAAATAGCGACCACTGCGAAAGCAATTCTAAAAAAAAAAAAAAAAAAAACACTTTCTAGTTTAAAAAAATCACACGAGAGACGTCTGTGCTGAGTAGAAATGATTGATGGTCATTAAAATTATAACGCCGTTGCCTGCATTCAGATAGTCAATGGATCGTATCACAACATCATCTGCTACGTATCTAGTATGCATCTAAAACATATTATTTAGATAATAAATATTGATTTAGATATCGTACTAACACTGAGAGTGTAAAATCCAATTAAATTAATAGACTGAGTTTTTTTTTCTATTCTAGATTTTCTTGAAAACCAAAGAATAAATTTAACATGTTCTTCTAAGGAAAATATCTTTCGCAAGTTAAAAGATTTCAAAACGAGCATCGTCTATGTCTACTTAGAAGGTAAAGTAAATTTTGAATAAAATTACATTTTTCTGAAGCAGTTGCTGTCTAAGTTCGTTTTTAGCATATAAATTCGAGCTCAGATATATTCAAACAAGCGGTTTGCGCTTTGCTTGCCACCAGATGGTGGGCTTGATGCGTGCACGTTTTTCCACGTCATGCAGCACATCTTTAATAAACGTCAGAATCTGCTGAAAGTGAGATCATTGATCATAACGAAAAGCGATCGAACGCGCAGACGCCGTCCGACTTCACCATACCGCGAGTCGTATCGAAATCTGTAAGTGCAACCCGTTAATTTCGAAGACTTTTTGCTTGAATTTTGACACTATGTCATGTCATAATTGACCTAACATATGTAGCCACGATGGCTTCACGCTACAAACAGGCAGATGGCTTATAAGTGACCGGTCGAATACCGCAGTGTGCATGCTCTACGTTACCTAAATAGCTCAAAACTTTTATTTATAAAAGTTAGTCGAATGAGTCGTATTTATCGGCTAGACAACTTGTTTGGGTGTTACGGGAGTTGTGCAATCAAGTTAACAATCAGCTCAGATGCACGGTAGCTGAATTAACGCCCAGTCAGTATGTCAGGACGAAATTTGCCAAATCCAGTGCTTTTTACTTTTGAGCTAACCCAAAACTGTATTAATACTATCTACAAAGATAAAGGATGTCATATCAGTATTTTCTACAAAGATAAAGGATGTCATATCAGTATTTATCGATTTCGTGTCAACTTTTAAACACGTTACCCGAAGTTCGGACGACTTTTCAAAAGACTGCCGTCGACACGAACAGGCTTCGCGATGCTTGCCAATCGTAAAGTCGGTTACAAGTTTAAATATAAAACAGTTAGATATACGGTAATTTTTGGTTCTTTGCAGCATGTTCTCCTTGGCCTAATTTTATCATCTAAACGTTCGACCGTTGAGCTCAAAAATCAGACATCTCCTAGCAGTCTACGATTTATCCAGACCTTTCTAAAATTCTCGACACTTCGGGCGGACATACCGACTTCACACAAGTTCTATGCTTCTGGGCGCAATTCAGATCACCGCTATATGAGTGTCGCAGGCGGGCATATTGCGTGAACGAAGACGTTCGAGATGTCCGACTTGGAAGAATTACCTTCCCCAACCTCGGCGTGTTACCGTTCTGAAGTGTTGTTGGCAACCGACAGCGGATGGTACCTTGTGGACAAGAGCGGCGTGCGCTTCTTGCATCGCTCTTCGGAACGGCTGCGATCACTATGTCGGACTCACGGTATAACCCCCGAATCTGGCATACGCGTCCGCGAAAGTGAAGTGTTCTTTTTGAAGACACAACGAGGTAGTGTCTCCCCGTACGGCAAAGTCTCGCCGACAATACAATCGTTTGACGTAACCACAGGCGGCACATTGCAAATGGTAGAATTTCAAAACTATTACCGATTGTATTTGGCTGGCGTATTCGTGAAGAGCGGCCGCGCCTATTACTGGAGCGGGTATGAGCTATATGAATTTACCAAAGATGGAAAGCAGAAGCTTCTCTGTAAGGTTCGTAATCCCATCTCGAGTCTGGCGGTTACCGAACACAAGGCAGAGTCGTTGAAATTTTATTATAATAATATAAAGGGTAACGTGTTCTTTCATAGCTGTACAGGTAACGGCGATCCCAGGGCGACCACAAGTGTCGACTGCGGGATGCATTGCCATCTCTTTGGGTCAGATCGAAACAGTGTTTTCGGTTGGAATTACAAAGAGCGACAGTTATACGTTATCAGTAACGGTTACGTCGCTCGAAAACGCTGTTGGATGACTAAACCCGTCGAGATGGTTAGCAGTGGCAGAAATATCTATCTCTTGTTCGATGGCCGCATTGAGATCGTTGATACGGATTCTTTGAGCATATCGACCTTGTGGAACATTCCGAAAGGATCACTAGCCGTCAGCGAGAGCAGCCGAACGTTTGCAAGCGTTGGACCATAGTTAATGATGTCCTATTTTCCTAAACTGGCACAATTCGATTGTAAAAAAAGATTCTTCGTTTAAGCTCGTTTCACTTACACTCCGTCTGTTACCGGGTCTGTCAGTGACAAACGGAATTACCACTTTGTTGTAAGTTTTTCATGATGTTTTTAATTACCAAATTTTTAGTAGTGTCAACCAAAAAAAACCAAGCCTAAAATATAAATTTGCACATGTTTATATGCAAAAATATGTCAATGAGTCAAATAAATGTCGATAAATACAATGATCTCCTGATAGTGACAATATATAGACCCATACGACAATGATCTCCTGATAGTGACAATGTATAGACCCATACGACGTTGGACAAATTGCAAAGCAAAATTTTGCATGAAAACTCCATCCATAATACAGTTGTGATTTACATACAATATGTTTTTCATCACTTTGTAAAAAATACGACAAAAACGGAACCGGCCGACAATTACATTGAGTTCAACTAGTTGTTGCAGGAGCACGATGAAAAATTGAAATAGCGTTGTACAGATGGTGATTGGTGTTTCAAATATAGCGTCTGCTTCTAGCAAAACGCGGTGTTTCAAATATAGCGTCTGCTTCTAGCAAAACGCGGTGTTTCAAATATAGCGTCTGCTTCTAGCAAAACGCGGTGTTTCAAATATAGCGTCTGCTTCTAGCAAAACGCGGTGTTTCAAATATAGCGTCTGCTTCTAGCAAAACGCGGTGTTTCAAATATAGCGTCTGCTTCTAGCAAAACGCGGTGTTTCAAATATAGCGTCTGCTTCTAGCAAAACGCGGTGTTTCAAATATAGCGTCTGCTTCTAGCAAAACGTGGTGTTTCAAATATAGCGTCTGCTTCTAGCAAAACGCATTGAGTCAAATAGACAATACCAATTTAAATTCGTAATTTTTCTTTAATCACACTTGCCGTATTGTATATGCTATTTACGGGACTTGAATCATCAATCCCTATCTTTTTCACCCAGAGATTAAGCATCCAAGCCGCAGCGCTACCAACTCAGCTTCTAGATGTTGCTAATCCGTAATATATATATATATATATGTATAGTGCTTGCTAATTGGATAACTGTGGTAAGAGCGGTAATTGATGGTAACGCTGGAGTTAATATCAGTTGAAATATAATGATAAGTATGAAAAGAAAATGTGCTCTAGGGGCCTTGCAAGCTTAATATCAGTCTCTAATGTACACTAGCAAAAATACAGGTTTGCAAAAACAACTGCAAGAGGATAATTTTGCTTCCGATAGGTATTTATAACATTGTTAAGTCGCCTTTGACATGATCGTCAGTATCTAAATTCCTACCTTTAACTTACAACTAACGAACGGCAATAAAGCATTGCGTGCCAATTTGGCGGGCCAACTTTAAATGAACGGGTGTCAGATATTTAAAGGTGGATTTTGGATGAACAAAAGTTGACGCAGACATCGAGGTAAGCCAACTAAACTTCTGAAGCTGCTCAGAGAGTAATAACTTGTTAGGTATTGACGTCTTCAGGCAATGGTAGGTATTTTCATTTATCTAGTTGGATATTAATAGTTTCTTTGCTGTTCAATTGCGCATTTTAACTGTTGCCTGACCAGGTCGCCATGCAGAGTCTATTGTGCTGAGATTCAGTAACTATAAGGTAAAATTAGCACATATTGTAACGGTTTACTGTCACAAATGCTGGCTTTGCAGGCTATCAGTTGAAATACTGTGAAGGATCTTAGAGCATTCGAAAGTAAATTTTCTCACAACCTCTTTGTGTCATGGCATCGTACCTTTAGACTTTGGATGAATAAAAACAAATGCTACGATACGCCATTTTATGCTTCTAGAATATTATGCAAGTATGATCACATTCGTTTTGAGTTTTCATCCTGTTTTTCGGTTGATTAATGGTTAGAATATCGAGTGTTTATTAAACGATCTTGCTCAGTAGCTAGACAATCTACATTGGTTTATTTCCGAAAGCTATTCCGCCCAATATGGATTCTAGTGGAATATAGCATGATCCAACTACTAACTTATACGAGCGATTCAAGGTTCAGCTCATGGATTTTCGTTCAAGAACGTCTGCATTTCACCATTGAAAGCAACGATCTAGGTAAAATATGTCTAGTTCATATCGTCAGCGCCTCATTAGAGACCTCCAGCGATAATAACTACGTGTTTGCTTATTGAACTTCTTCTGTGTTTTTTTTTTTGGAAGTTAAGGGCAAATGCATTATGCAGACCAGACATCGCTGTATTGTGCTTTGTCCGGTACTGTGGGACTCTCACCCACTGATGCCTGGACCCCTTTATCAGCTTGGCTCATGGTTCGGGATATGTTTGATATTACTTCGAAACGATGACTTGCAGGAACGGCCATTTCGTCATCCTTCCCTTTGAACCGTTCCAGCCCATCCTCCATCCTGGCTTTCCTCTTGACCAGATACGCTGGGTTTCGAGCGGGACCGTACTCCCTGTTCTCCCGTTGCCACCAGTTGTAGTGTGTCAGGCCCGCGATTGTTTCGGGCCTGTCCTTCTATTCTCTCACGTCTCATCCTTTCAAGTTGTTCCTTTCTTTTCATAATATCATCAAAGAAGACCGCAACTTTGGCCCAGGTCGTCCTATCTATTGTCATCATATTGACACGCGGGTTGGTCCAGATTCGAACCCACGCTTAGACACATCTCGATTCTCTAGTAAAAATCCGAATAGTCCTAGTGAAGGCGATGAATCTGCTGGTACGCTCGTCTTCTGGCTTCGGTCTCTCCAGATTGCTCGTATTGAGCTTCGTGTTAATAGTGTAGTAGGTTTTAAGCGATGTACTAGGCAGCGTATTTGTTGGCCTGCCGTAGCCAGAACAGCCAAGAGTAGTAAAGTAACGCTGTCTAACAGCAGCAAGATCGAACGAATAAATAAATTTCGCCCAGTTCTGACGAAACAGGCATCATGATTCCAGAATAAATAAATAGGTTGGCCTAGATGAGGATTTAGCCACTGCTTTTCGCTACAGCCTCGTGGCTGGTAGCAATAACGTTTAACTTATTATTTTCGGATAGAAAAAGCGTATGTTGGAAGTTGTGAGTATGTAACGTAAGACATTTTGATGACTGCGTACAAGTACATCTTTCTAGTGAAATATGTACTTAACAGGGATGTAAATAAATAACCGATAGAGGTGGTTCTGTTTTTACTGGTTTATACAGTCTATTAGGTCGACTTTGCTCTTGGCTTACCATAGTGAAAGTTGAATAAATGGCCAATCGACTTTGTGCACGCAAACGCGTTGTTCCGTATGTTACCTACATATCTTTTCGTTCTGTCATGCCTGTTATTATTTTTTCTACTTCAACTTTATATCGCGACACTTCTCCAGCACAAGAACACAGGAATACTTGTTTATATATTCAAAACAAACAAAGGCAAATACTACAATTGATCATAATATCGCTGTCGAGGGCATCCCACGCTTTTTCTAAGTGCCCGATCGCACAGTTTCATGCATGCGGTCAAATCGTCTCGTGCTAGTAACAGCAGCGGCTATCTACAACAATTAGCAGAGCATTCGGAGGCTAACAGACGACGTAAGCCCCATATTGCCCCCCTATATCAAAAGCCATGGCTCGGCGACAACGTCTTTTAGAGTTTATGTTACATTGATAAGTCCGCTAAAATACCATCGCTTTGGATTCGCTCGGAAGAAGTAAGAGAAAAATTGTAAACAAATCCGCATCGTTGATTCGTTGATACAGGCTACTCAACGGGTCTGTCGAAATTTTCACGATCGCCTAAAGATACTAGACATTAAATCAAATCAGAGCACCATTTGTCAACAGCTACCAACGATAGACGCCTTTCGGTCACCAAAAGGTAAACTCTGGCTTTGAACATAGTTTTTGCCCAGAAACAGTTTGTCAGTTAACGGCATTATTGTACAGGGTCGGCGTAGACTATCTCGCGTAGATAAACCCAGCTTTAGAGCGTTCACCGAAAGTGGTGCACCGGACTAATATAGGATGCAATACTTAATCGTAATATTATCCAGCAAAAATCCACTTTAAACAACGATAAGTTAATTATCGATCTCTAAGAAAGCGTCTTACCTAGAAATAGATATAGAGAGAGAAATCTTCTCTGGATAGTCGTTAAAAGATCAATCTACCATTGATACCAGATGTGGAGTTTTAAAATCTCATTGAATTTTTACAAAAGAGTCAGTTTTTGATCCCGATCAGGCGCAGACCGGCCGGCCACTCATCGTGATTTCATAAAAATACAGTACAAACGTTGAAAAGTGTGTAACAATTGTCCTGCAAAAATGGGAATACTTCTACCCCGCCACTAATGAACCCAATATTAGACTACAGATATACAGGCATGGCGTGCATTATCCAGTCAAACTAAGTGGGTCGTGCAGTGCTATTTCCGGAGAGCTGTGTATGCCCCACCGCCTCTTTTCAGTGTAGGGGATGTTATACTGTGCACAAACGCATCAACGGTACTTAGTAAATTCGATATATGTATTGATAATAAACAGATAGAGCGGTATGTGCAAAATGACGCGATGTCTGTGAATCGATTTGGCTAGGGATTAATTATAAAAAACTCGCTCGTATCAAATATTAATGAAAAAATGGCATTTTCATTAATGCCGACACACAGATTTTGATCGTCTTACGTGGCCAGTGATCGCGATTTTACTCATCGAAAGATCAATCGATGGATTGGCGGAAACCGAGCATAAGGTGATCAATGAATCCAATTTCCAGCTTAACTTTTCTAACCTTTAGCAACTGTGTTGTCGTTGCCGGGACTTCCATCGCAGCGTAGTTGGCTTCACAAATTTATGCTGGACACGTTGGATCAATGAGGCGTTATTTTGCAGCAATCGTGCCCATTTATGTCTATTCAAGTGTTTACTTTGAGATGGTAAACGTCTCATCAAACAGAATGTTACCAACTGCAAGTGTTGGCAAGTGATAAGTTTGGTCTGGCCGGCCGTCCTTGAAAAAAGCCCGCTGTGCTATATGCTTTTCTTTGCATTACAGTCTTATGACACAGATTCAGATCGCATCTTCATGTACGGTACGGGTCCCGTATCGCTAATCTGTTAAGTAAAATTACTTAGTCGTATTACTCAGAGAGAGATCGAACAGGGGTCCAATGACGGGACCATGACTGTCACTGATTGTATTACCTTTTGTAGATGGGCTTTTTGGTAGGATGTTAACTCGCACCAGCTAGAACTAGCATCGTGAT